GTAGCAGCTACGACTTTGCCCCTTCAGGTAAGTAGCAGCTACGACCTTGACCCTTCAGGCCTCCTACAACTACGACTTCGGAACTGTCTAGACTCCTACTCTATAGGTCTACAGTTCGATTCCCTTCTACCCTGTGACTTACGAAAACCTACCTACCACTCGCGGTCCTACAGGTCGCAGGTTCGAATCTACGGGTTGACACTCGTATTGTACACAGGTAAGACGGGAACTAGGGATCGAGCCCTGGGATCTGCATTCGCTACTGGGAACTGGTGAATACCGTTTCACTTTAACCCCTCTTAGCCCCTGCAAAAACAATTTATACCCCCCTTTCCCCGCCTCGACAGCCAACTCTCAAAAAATGAAACGAGCCCGGATTTGGGGTCCTCTGGGACAGCGCAGAGAGGCAATTTTTATTTATTTATCTATTTTTATTTTTTTTGCACGCCCAGGTACCCCGGGCGTCACGCCCGGGTGCCCGTCCAGGCATGAAAAACTTGCTTAGCTAGCTAAAAGCCCACTTACACCCACGTTTACCCACATTTACCCACATGGGTATAAACTTACTATAAAGTACTAAAAACTCATGTATACACACATTTACCTACATTTACCCATCTGGGCCTAAATCCGCTTATACCCACGTCTTCTTACATGTACCTACATGGGTATAAACCCATGTATACCCACCTTTACCCAAATGTGTATAAGCCCACATTTATCCAAGTGGGTATAAACCTACCTATAACCATGGTTCAACAGCACGCAGGCTTCCTCTGGCTGAGCTTGCACCTCGTCTTTCCAACTTTTTTTTTTGTTTTTGTTTTTGATTCAGAATCATTTGTCTGTTCATCTTTTTTTTTTTTTTTTTTTTTTGGAAACAAAAGCTCCAATCTATTCGTGGGGAGCAACACGTGCAGGGAAGCGGGCCCAGCGTCCCATATCAAATTGTACAAATCTTTTGAGATACCGGGGCCATTACCCGGCTGCGGCTGGGAACACGTCTGAGAACACTTGCGGAAGTTGCAGAAATTCGGGAAGCATGGGAATAGGTTAGGACTTTCCTAATGACCAATTAAGGAACTACTCATGC